GGAACAGGTTTCTTGTTTTTGTTTTTAGCTGAGCATCCAGTAGGTTCTCTTCTACTCTCATTTCATTTAATCTTCACAATTTCTTGAGGTACATTTGTGTATTACTGAGCATGCTTTTAGCTCTAAATAAATTAAAACAAAAAGTTTGCCATCCAGAACTTTTTTTTCTCATTTGACATTCTTCTGCTCCTCTATCCTCAGTCTGTTCATTTCCTTCTTCAAACTTGTTTTAACTGTCACATGTCTACTGCATTTCCATGCAGCACATTCTTATAGTAAACCCACTGATCATTTAGTAATATGCTATTTAGCCTCCATGTCTTTGTGTGTTTTCAGGTTTCTTTTATAATTAATTTCTAGTTTCATACCATTGTGGTTAGAGAAGATGTCTGATATGATTTAAATCTTCTTAAATTTATTGAGTCTTGTTTTGTGTCCTAAGATGTGGTCTGTCCTAGAAAATGTTCCATGTGCTCTTGAAGAGAACGTATACTCTGCTGCTTTGGGGTGAAATGCTCTGAAGATAGCAATTAAATTCAACTGATCCAGTGTGACATCTAAGGTAATTTTCTTGTTGACTTTTTGTTGGGAAGATCTATCCATTGAAGTCAATGGGGTGTTAAAATCCCCTAAGATAACTATACTAGAGGCCCAATGCATGAAGATTCATGCAAGAATGGGCCTTCCTTCCCCTGGCTGCCAGCACCGCCTTTGCTCAGGCTGGGGCTACCCTTCCGCCTTCCCACGCTGCCCAGAGGCCTGGAGCCAACTTTCTGCCTTCCCACGCTGCCCAGAGGCCCGGAGCGGCTGGGGCAGTGTAGAACGCCTGCGTCATCGCTATGGCGATGACACAAGCATCCCGCCCCCGGCCACTCGGCGCCTGTGTATGCAAATTAACCCGCTGTCTTTGTTGGGTTAATTTGCATACTCACTCCTGATTGGCTGGTGGGCGTCACAAAGGTACGGTCAATTTGCATCTTTTTAATTATTGTAGGTGATTGGCATACTATATTATATGTTTCAGGTGTGCAACATAGTTTTTGACATTTACATATCTTATGACATGCTTACCACACTAAGACTAGTTACCTGTCACCATGTGAAGTTATCACACTATTGACTATATTCCCTTTCACTTTTTTCACCCCTTCCCTCAGCCTTCAGATTTTTCTTTGTTTATATGAGTCTCTTTTGTTTTGTTGTTTGTGTGTTTGTTTCGATTTTTTTTAATTCCACTTATAAGCAAAATCATGTAGTATTTTATCTTTGTCTGAGTAACTACTACTGCTAAATCTTTTAAAATAGAATTGGCAATGTATATATGTAAAATATAATTGTGTTATATATATGATATATATATATATATCATATATATATAACATATATGATACATCATATATCATAGATATATTAAATTGCACTTAATTTTAAATTATAAAATCTCTGGGTAAATATTTGAGAACAATTTTCAGTTTTGGAGAGGGTCTTTTTTACCTCAGTAAGTTTAGAAATGATGCTTTATTAAAACCCAGATTTCACATTTCTTAGACTGCAAAACAAAACAAAAAAAAATGGAAAATTTATTCAACTGTGAGAACAAAAGAAGTGAGACATTCAGAGACTTTTATTTTGCCATTTCCATGTGTTGTATTTCAGCAGTCTTAAACTGTGTATTGTACTAAGACAGAAGTTCAAACATTTCCAAGCACAACCTTTAAATTTAAGTTTCTCCTAAATCTAAAAAATATGTTTTAAGTTTTCCATTTATTTTTTGATCAGTCTCAATTTTAGCATCTAATGATCCTCTTATGACCACTATCATCTTAGAATCTGGACTTTTCCCAAAACAGAAATAAATGAGGCTCCCACACAGCAAGATAGTTGTTTGATATGCTTGCCAATATCCTTGTGGAAGAAGTAAAGTGGCAGGATATGTAAGACATTCAGATTTAAATCCAGAAATAAAAATAAAGGTTTTGGCATTTCATAAAATTGAAGGGGTTGATCATGCTTTCATAAAATTCACTGATTTTTTATGGTACTCTAAGGTCTCACTACTAAATTTAACTGTAATTGTTCATTGTGAACTACACAGTATAGTATCCTGAGTGAAGATATTGTGATTTTAGTGTTTTCATCCTTCTCAAACTTTCTTAAACTTCTACTTTCTTTTGCAATGTTAGTTCACAATGTTTCTTTAAATTAAAATCTTCAAAGCAACATTATCTATACATTTTTATCGTGAACTTTCTTACAAATTGTCTTTATTAAATTATTACATACAACAAAGCTACCTTCATAGACAGACAGGTGTTACTTATTTTGAATGAAACTGTTAAGTGATGCTTTGAAGTGGTGCTTCCTTTACCCTTATTTTGTCTTTCAAACAACTGGAAGGGAGTCAGCAAAAGCATAGAGCTATCACTGCATTTCTGCTATGCCCTTGGGCTACTGCTTTGGTAGCTGTGATAAAGGCAGCTAGAGGCAAAACAACCCAGCCCTTAAATGCTTAACTACCTTGAACTTACTGGCATCAGTTTCTACTAGGATCTCCCCTGAATTGGCATTATCCTACTCAGAGAACACATACTGCTGTAGGTTCCCTTGGAAAGGATGTGACTAATGTGCTGGATTGTGTGGAATTGTGCTGACCACTCTGCCCCATTTCCCTCTTCTATGTTCTTTTATCACAGAAGCTGGAAGCCTGGGAACCACATTTTCAAGAATACCTGCCAGTATGGTTCTAGTTTAGATTCTGCCAATGAAGGAATTAGTGTACTTTTGAAGGCATAAGAAAAACAAAGGCAATTATTATTCTCATGACTGTGGCTGGCAATTACTGAGGATGCAGCATCAAGTTTTGCAGCAGCTTCCTGGTGTCCTTTAAAGAATTGCCTGCTTTAGTGCAGTGGGCAGCAAAATCAATGACAGTGGTTTCCTATAATTTGAGCATTTCCTGATTTCCTAAATGGTACTGTGGCCTCCCTAATATTTTCTTTCCTGGATTTTTTTTAATCCCCTCTATTAAGCTATTTACTGTTTGAAGTACATGGAATTATTTCCAGTTTCCTAGACTGAACCCCATATGAAAGAAGAGGCATCCATATTCATCTCATTCTTTTTAAAGCCCTTTGGGGGTCCTGACTTAGGAAATGAACACAGGACCCCAAATAGAATCTCACCGAGAAGAAATGGAGAGAATGTGCTGGTTCTCTGTGATCAACTCCAGGATTGTCAGGATGGAAAAAGTTTATTTGGCATGGTATAACTAGGGATGAAAAACCATCTGTCCCAGGCCACTGGGTACAATGACCATGCTTTAGAATTAGTAGCTGAGCATATAAATGAGAACTAAAAGTGGTAACTCTGAAAGCTTGTTCAGATAGGTATTAGGCTCAGCAAGATCCATTGGAGCACTGAAGGCAGATGCAGCATATCTCATCTCCATGCCTCACAAACAGAGAAGTTATCATCAACCAAGATCCTCCCAATCTTCCAACAGATCTGCCAATGGACCTGCATATGCAGCCTTTCCTTCTCTTTGTTTTAATAGTGGAATTCTGTATGAACCAATTCAAGACCAATACCTCCCCCTGCTTCCTCAGTTATCTCCAGCTTTTAGTTAACCTGTCTTTTTTTCTACCTCAGCCTCTTTGCCACCAACAAGCTATACTAATAAAAGGGTAATATGCTAATTAGACCGGACATCTTCTGGACAATCTTCCGGACATCCTTCCAGACAAAGCCACAGTGGCAGAGCCAAGGCAGAGGTGGTTAGGAGTGATCAGGCTGGCAGGGGAGAGCAGTTTGGGGGGTCAGGCTGGCAGGAGGTGAGCGGTTAGGAGCCAGTGGTCCCAGATTGCTAGAGGGATGTCCCAGATTGGAGAGGGTTCAGGCCAGGCTGAGGGACACCCCTTGCCTCATGCACAAATTTTGTATACTTGGCCTCTAGTGATGTTAATAAGCATGTAAATGTGCTCCAGGAACTCACAAATTGTCAAAAAAGATATTTAGTTATACTGCTTCTAAATGTGCTCCAGGAACTCACACTTTCAAAAGATATTTAGTTATACTGCTTCTTCCCCTCCCCCTCAAACACCTGTCAACCCATTCCAGTTTAGCTTCAGATCTTCATTGTTCAAAAACAAAACAAAATATCCTCTGGATATAATCATTCATTAATTCATGCATTTTTCCTTTAACAAATATTTATATTACACAATTGTCCTGCTGTGATTAATAATGTTTACATTGTAAATCCAATTAGCATATTTTCTAATCAATTTGTATGTGTAAAATAAGAAAAACAGTAATACAAATGTACTGCAACAAATTTAAAAATATGAGGGTATATAAAATAAAATATAATAATCTCTTCCCAATGAATTAGTTGATGTTAATAGTTTGATGTAGATTCTTTTACACATTTTTCCATACTTACATAATTAGTCCTAACGTACTCAATAATTTGTAATACATTTAATCTACTGTTTTTCACTTACAAAACAACAGTATCAAATGATTTAATCTAATATATGTACATGTATAAAGATTTTTATTTAGTTTATTTTTAATAGATTTTAGAGCAATGTTGAAATAATATTTAAAATTATAAATAGTTTAATGAATGATATCTGTGTTCACCTTTGTTTGGGAAATATAATTAGAAGCAAACCTCCACCAACTCAGATAAACCTCACCACAGAGATAGAAGAGAGATAAAATAGTTTTATTGCTGAATAAGCATCAAACCAGAATATGAAGAGCATTATAAGCAATCCACTAAGAGATTGCAATGGCAGAAAGAAATCTCACTCTTTTATATGGCCAAGCAGATACAACCAATTCCATATATGTTGTCATGGTAAACAATGACTATTGTTCAAGTAAGACGACTTAACAGCACCATTTGTCACACAGTTCTAAATTCGCCTAGTAATTGTGATAACCCATTGTGTTAGTTGAATGTACTCTAAAGCAAATTAAATGTTTACCTTTATAACAGAAGATAGTTTTGCAACTTGGACAAAGTTGGGCTCCTACTTGACCACAGAAACTGGGAGATAGAGGCGCTGTCTTCCTTGATGATTGTATTTCAAAAAGATGGTCCCCAGTTCCTAGAGAAGGGTATTCCTGGATTATAAAACTGACAAGTAGCCTATGTGGCCTTTAAAAAGATTTATATACATTTCAAACAGATAGAGGAACAATTTATAATTACAGGTTTTCTAAAGTTAATATCTAAGAAAATGGTAGCCCATCTCTCCTTATTTTTCACCAGGAGAATTTATGCAGACAAATTTTTCTCATCATTTATCTCATCATTCCTTGTCTGAATAACCATATGTACACTTTTGCATTCAGGCTTTCATGGGTACATGTTCAAAAGATATGCTAATCTCACTAAATTATCCTTAATTTTTTATTTCTGATGTTTGCATATTTCCTGGCACAATGATGACACCCACTAACTGTTTAGTGAATTAAATTTTAGAATGACTTTAGCTTAAAATTATCAAAGGATGAATCTCGCCTACATTTTTTTTTCTTTAGAGTGATGGTATTCAGGTCAGGCTACCCAGAATGTGCCATTTTGTCAGGTGAATTATTTCCAGCTGAAGACAATCAAGGCCCATCAGACTCAAATGATTTTAGATATGGGGCCGGTGCTAGGAACAGAGCTATTATCAGAGAGAACTTTTTACATCAGAAAAACTTATGTGTATGGTATAGCCAACATTTGGTTACCAAACATTTGCTCTTCCCATCTTCCTGTGAATCGTCTTCCTCCCTTTTGAAGTTCCAGACTCTATCCCCTTCTGCTATGGCATAAGCCTAAAGTGCCCAACTGTTAGAAAGCCTCTTGTGTCTTTTGTGAGATTTCTGTCCATCCGAAAATTAAATTTGTTTTCCTCCTGTTAATCTGTCTCATATAATTTAATTATTATGTCAGCCAAAGAACCTAGAAGGGAAAAAGGGAAAAGTTTTTCTCCCTACAAGAAGAACACTAAATTTTCAAACTAAGCCCCCACAATGGTTTATCTGATTTTTTTTTGCAGTATAAAAAGTAGCATGGAATCGTATTTATACATTTACCTGACACTTATTCATGTTCAATGGCATGCCAATCATAGCTAACAGTTACCATTTATTGAGTGCTTACCATACACTTAGTAAACATTTTTATAAATGATACCATTCTTAAGTTTTACAACTCTCTAGAGCAGCGGTTCTCAACCTGTGGGTCACGACCCCTTTGGCGGTCGAACAACCCTTTCACAGGGGTCGCCTAAGAACATCCTGCATATCAGATATTTACATTATGATTCATAACAGTAGAAACATTAGAGTTATGAAGTAGCAACGAAAATAATTTTATGGTTGGGTCACAACATGAGGAACTGTATTTAAAGGGCCAGAAGGTTGAGAACTACTGCTCTAGAGTGTATTTGCTAGTTTTACCTTTTTATTTCAAATATATATTTATTGATTTCAAAGAGAAAGGGAGAGACAGAAAGATCATCGATGAGAGAGAATCATTGATTGGCTGCCTCCTGCACGCCCCCCTACTGGGCATTGAGCATGTGCCCCTGATGAGAATGGAACTGGGACCTTTCAGTCCACAGGCAGATGCTGTATCCACTGAGCCAAACCGGTTAGGGCTAGTTTTACCTTTACAATTGGTGAAGGTGAAGGAGATTAAAGAAAGTAAGTAATTTAGCCACAGTGATTCAGCTAAAAAATGGTAGATGCAATTTTAAACTTAAGTCAGTCGGAGTACACAGTTCTTGCACCAAGGTCTCTGCTATTTTGTGAACATATACCTCTTTAACCAAGTCATGAGTGCCAGGACTGCAGTACAAGCAGTCTACATCGCATCTACCAAAGGAAGTGGCAAATTCCGGCTTGTTCAAACCATTGCTAATATTCTAAATGGCTTAATCCCCAGGTTAGAAAATTAATCAGGCAAACCTGGTGATAAATATCCTCAAACAGCTGATAATGCCATTGTTTTGGATGACCAGTTTACTTATCTACACTAATAAAAGAGAAACATGGTAATTGGCGTACAACCGCTAACCTTCCCATTGGCTAATCAGCATATCCTTATGCAAATTAACTGTCAGCCAAGATGGCGGCCGGCAGCCAGGCAGCTGGAAGCAAACATGAGGCTTGCTTGCTCCAGTGACTGCAGACTCCAACGTTCCCCACCTGACTTGCCGGCCTCTGAGTTGCAACTCTAAGCAACTATGTACTATGTTGCAAATAAGAAGCTAAACAAAACCCCAGAAACCAGCTTTCAGAAGGCTGGGATCTCAGAGCTGAAGTTATACATTGTTTCGATTATAGAACGGTAAACAAACCAGATACAAAGCCTCAGAGCTAGAGCCAGAGCTAAAGCTGGCCCAGAATAAAATAAAATAAAGAGAAAAAGAAAGGAGCGGTTGGGAGCTTCAGTCAGCCTGAAAGCAGCCCTCAGCCCCTCACCCAGACTGGCCAGGCACCCCAGTGGGGACCCCCACCCTGAAGGGTGGGTGACCAGCTGCAAACAGCCATCATCCCCTCATCCAGGCTGGGCAGGCACCCCAGTGGGGACCCCCAACCTGATTCAGGACACCCTTCAGGGCAAACCAGCCGGCCCCCAGGCCTCTATCCTATATAGTAAAAGGGTAATATGCCTCCCAGCACCGGGATCAGCGTGACAGGGGGCAGCGCCCAAACCCCCTGATCGCCCTGCAGCTCTGTGTGTGACAGGGGGCGGGGCCACAACCTCCCTATCCGCCCTGCTCTGTTCATGACAGGGGAAGGCGCCCCAACCCCCTGATGGGCCCTGCTCTGTGCATGACAGGGGGGAGCTCCCCAACCCCCTGATGGGCCCTGCTCTGCGCGTGACAGGGGGCAGCGCCCCAACCCCCTTATTGGCCCTGCTCTGTGCGTGACAGGGGGTGGCGCCACAACCTCCCCATCGACCCTGCCTTGAGTGTGACAGGGTGGCGGTGCCCCAACCCCCCAATCGGCCCCACCCTGATCGTGACTTAGGGTGGCATTGCAACCTCCCAATCCGCCCTGCTCTGTGCATGACAGGGGGCAGCGCCCCAATTCCCCAATCAGCCCTGCTCTGAGCCCGACCAGGGGCTGCACCTAGGGATTGGGCCTGCCCTCTGCCACCCAGGAGCAGGCCTAAGCCAGCAGGTCGTTATCTCCTGAGGGGTCCGAGACTGCAAGAGGGCACAGGCTGGGCTGAGGGACCCCCCCCCTGATAATGTCATTGTTTTGGATGACCAGTTTACTTATCTATAACAATAAAAGAGTAATATGCTAATTAGACCAGACAGCCAAACTACCTTCGGCCGAAGCCACCGCGGCTGGGGCCCAGGCAGAGGCAGTTAGGGGCCATCAGGCAGGCAGACAGAGTGCTTAGGGGCGATCAGGCAGGCATGCAGAGTGGCTAGGGGTGATAAGGCAGGCAAAGTTGTTGGGGCAATCAGACAGGCGGGCAAGTGGTTAGGGGCGATCATGCAGGCAGGCAGAGGGGTTAGGGGAGATCAGGCAGGCAGTCAGGCGAGCGGTTAGGAGCCAGTGGTCCCGGATTGTGAGAGGGTGCAGGCCGGGCTGAGGAACCGCCCCCCCCCCCAATGCATGAATTTCGTGCACTGGACCTCTAGTAACAAAATAAAAGAAATGGGCATTCCAGATGTGACCCATGAGGAAAACTGACATATAGGAGATTTCAGAACTTGTGAAAGGGCTTTCAGCTGGTATGCAAAGAATGATTTCCCACAATAAACTGTATTGTGGTTCAGGAGAATCTTCCCAGAATTACCAGTAAGGCCTGGTATGATAAATATCAACTGCAATCAAGGAATCAGAGAAAAGGTGAGCCTTAATTATATCTCACTAAACACTATGCAACAGTTAATTCAGGGAATACCAGAATCTCTCTGCTTCTAGGGATGAACATACTGATACATCCCATTGAGCCAATGTATGGAACTGCATAGCCACCTTTGGGAGTAATCTCTACAGAGAACTGTGGAAGGCAGGGTATTGAGAAAGGGAGAGATGACGGTGGTAGGGTGGATGGCTGGGGGAGAACAACCTTTGCGGGGCTCATATATTTGCAGATTGCAAAAAAGTAGCATAGAGTTGGAGTTGAAGTTAGAAACTGGGTCACTGTGGTTAAAAGTCTTTTGACTATTACATTTCTAGTGCATGATGTGTTCATACCTTTTCAAATCTCATTCCCTCCTGGCACTATCTCAGGAGAAAAGTTGGACAATCTAGAAATGACAATGTAATTGGCTACATGGTTCTGTCCCTTTCTGTTCAGATGATCTTGGGAGACCAAGTGAGAGTGAAAGAGAACATGCGAAGCCCAGCTGCCAAGCTGACATGACAGCCCATTAGTTGGGGCGATGCCACTCTCAGATCAACCCAAAGGTTAATGGCACAGATGCAGTTGAAGATCTGATGGATAGAGGCTGTGAACTCCATATCAATAATTTACAGCAAGTGCCTGGAGGTGGCACATGAAGGGTCCCGTCATCAATTAAGCATGGCAGCCTGTTTTTATAAAATTGTCAGAAGGGATTATTAAATTTCACATCTTAGTATGCTTAGGGTAAAAAATTCAAATAACACTAAAGGTTGCATTTTAAAAACAACATTTAGTGTAAACTCTTGCTTTTGGCCTAATGTCAAACTGTCAAAGGGGTGCTACCCAATTTGATGTATGCTTTTTATTTTTCCATTTACGAGCCAAGGTACTTCTTCATATTTATTATGTGAATAATAATACATTATTCTTTTTTATATTAAAATAGATTTAAAATGTTTTAAAACATTTGGACAAGTATTTAAAAACATCTGATTGATATTTTTAGTTTAAGGGTTTCATAACTTAGGGGAATATTTAATTATCAAGAAAACAACATTTGTTCATATGGAAAATAATATAATAATTAATAAATAATAATAAAATATGTTTCACATACTCTCAACTATAATCCTCCTTTTGCTCCACTCTGTTTAAATGAATTGGTTGACTGACTGGCTGGTTGACTGACTGACTTAGAGGCTAACTGGTTGACTGTCTAAGAAATTAAGAAATTAGGGT